GCACAAACTAGATTTATTGAGGAAAGTGAGACAATTATAGAAAATATATCAGATGTATAATAAGAAAATGCGACATCGTAGCTGTAAACTTGATTTATCTAAAAAGTATACTATTCATAGTGACTGTGTTGTAGGCCCGAAGGGTTAAACACTTTATAGGACTGTGACTCTCTTTGGGACTGTGACTCTCCCTTTGATGGTGCCCAGCTAGAAGACCAGCTGAAGTGACATCGGATGAAATTTCTACCGCGATGACGTTTGGTCTGCCTCATCACATCAGTTCATAAGATGGTTTCCGTAATTTTCATGTTTAATTTATTTTAACATGGAAAAATGTCTCTTTATTGTTTTAAACACTTTTCTTTAGTATCAAAACAAAAAAATTAAAAAAATACGGCCTTTGGGGGGGAAAATCCGTAGTAACGTCATCATCCGTCGGTCGTCTTTTGTTTCCGTTTAACAGACGAATTTCCGTTGAATTCTAACCCCTGGAAGTCAGTCAGAGTAGATAATCCACGAGCTTGGGACTTCAAATGTGACAAGGCGCGAACGATCGGAACGTCTACGAAAGGAAAATTTGCCTACTTGCTTTAGGAGACTGCTGAAAGAGAAGGGTATTGTCAAAATTAGGGGCTGTGGGGGAAATCACAAAGAATCCCACTTGTCTGGGCCAAAGAGAGTACTTAAAACGTTTGTAGAGGTTGAAGTAGTAGAAGGACGAGGGCGGGAGGCAGATGGGGTGGTGTGTAGTGGTGTACTGTAGTAAGGAGAGTAAGGAAGAAGACTGGTAAAGGGGAGGGGGTTGACAATGAAGAAGACTGTACAGTAAGAGATGGAGTGAAGAATGTTGGAAGTGAGGAAGGTGCGTATTCCGAAAGTTAAGTCATGACCTGGGTGGATGGTTTTGAATGGAGTTGTCAGTCAGATTTAGATAGGCTAGTTGATGAAGGGGCAAGCCTTAATGCCCAGAATAAAGTTTAAAAATTCTGGTTATTGGCCACTGTGAGCATGAAATAAGTGGGGAAAATAAACGGTCTACCCATTAGGGACTCAAAACGGGTAAAGGCTAGGCGATTAACCAAGGGAATACCGTGCCCACGGCTCCTGGAGGCCGTTCATGACTGACACAAAGTCAACTTTTCATCCTTTCAGCACAGCTCTCACACCTTAGAAAAAAAAGAGTTTAAAGAAGAGTAGGAAAAGAAATGGGGAGAAGAAAGGACCATGCAAAATTAGTTGACGAAGGATGAGGCCCAGGGTAGGGGTGATCCCCTAGCTTGGGCCTCAGTCTCCTAAGCCCCAGCCCCGCCCCCCCCATGACAAGGAGCCCCCTTTTGCTAATCCCTACCATACCCTATAATGTTTAATGGTTAATGTTTGAAAATAAATGTGCTAGACATCAAAGGTCATATAGCACTATCGTAAAGTATTGCGTCGGAAAGGGCTAAGGAGAGTTCAAAATTACGATGAAATATGTTAAAAAATAGATGTCAGAGGTTTGAGAGCGTTATAGGATAGTATGGTAGTGAAAAAGGAAAAAGGGAGAGCAAGTGAACTAGAGCATAAATTAGTAGAAAGGAGAGGGTTAAGGATGAAGGGCGATTGAGGGAATTGCAGTGAATCTGTCACCGGGGAAGGTATAGGAAAAATGTTCAAGGAAGAATAGAGATAGCTGTTGAAAAGTAGGAGAAGCATCCGGGAGGAGGGGAAGGTGTTAGATGTCAAAGAGTAGGGGGTGTTATAGGAAAGTATGGTAACGAAAAGGGAAAGGAGGTAGAGCAATTAAGTAAATCTGTGACTGGGGAAGGAATAGAGATGATAGCGGTAAATATGGTTGTAATAGTAATGAGGGATTAGGTATCTGAGGGTTGAGATAAAGGATCAGTAGGTGAAGTAGTGTCTGGGAGGTCGATAGGGACGGTGGGGTCTGGGGAAAGGTATTGTGATAAATGAGATTCACGTGGGTATCCAGGCGGGAGTGGGAGAGATAGGGGGGATGGTGTTTTTTTTTTCTTTTTCTTTTTCTTTGGGAGTGGGGGGTGGTATGGGTGCTTGAGAGGATGAGGTATTTTGGGAAGGGATTGGTGGAATATAATAGAGTAGAGCAACTGAGTGAATTGCAGTTTAGCTGTGACTGGGGAAGGAGTAGGGACATTGATCAAGGAAAATAGAGGTGGCTGTTGGATAAGTAGGAGGAGGTGAATCCAGGAGCTGAGAAAGGGAGACGGGAAGATGGTGAAGTATCAGGAAGAATGTCTGGAGAAGGATACTGTTGTGATAGAGGGGATTCGTGTGAGTATTCAAGTGGAAGCGGTAGAGAGCGTGGGGTATGTTGGGAGGGTGTAGGAGGAGGAAGTGGGGTAGAGTGAACTTGGGGAGGAGGAGGATGGATACCTGCAAATACTTTAAATGTAGGAGTAGGAACAGAGGGATTAGGGGGTGGATGAGGGAGCAGTGTGTTCCCTTGGGTCATCTTTAAAAAAGTTTTGGATGTTTTCAAGGGTTTCTGGAGGGGAGTTGGGTAAAGAGGACTGAGAAACAAAGGTTCTCTTATAAGGAGGCGAAGAGGAGACAGATATCTGGGGAGCAGATGAAGAGGAAGATGTAGAAGAGAATGTAGTAGGAGAGCGTGGAGTGGAATGTTTAGGTTGCCTGGTAGGACAACTAAAGTGAGGAGGAGGGGTAGGTATCGGGGAAGTGGTAGAAATTGGAATATCTGGATTTAGAATGGAAATCGGATTTGACTGGTGGATAGGATGAGTAGACAGGATGTAGGTTTAGTGTATAGGGGAGAGATATCGAAAGATCTTGTGTAAATGGTGGAGAAGCAGAGCGTAGGACTGATTTGGGACAAGTTGAGAGAGAAAAATATCGACGTCGTGCTACCTGTCTGGCATCATGTAGAGTGAGGCCTAGATGAAATCCGTGGACTGCTACCTCACATTCAAACTTATAGGCAGGGCAGGTCCTATAAAACACAATATGGGAGTCTCCACGATTAGCACATGTACGTGACTGAGCAGGGCAATTTGAACGGCCATGACCAGGTTGGGCACATAGAAAGCAGCGGGCTGTGGAGCAAAGGTTTGGTTGAGTGGCCAAAACTCCAACATCTCTGATATTGAGGCGGAAGGGGTCGATATTGTTGGACATGATAAGACAATCCACCAATATAAACCTCACGAGGGAGGTCTTGTCTGTGGAAGCTAATCTTGGCAGTATAGACATGGGATTTACGCTGGCCTCTGGGAGGAAAATAGTAACACTGTACTTGTTATACATGGGACAAGCATTTAGGGGAATAGAAACAGTTCCATTTTAAGTATTTAGAGATGGGTGAGGTTTGGCAGGAATGGGTTTGCCATTAAGATCAGTTAGGGTAGATAGTGCCCGAGTTTGGGATTCAGATGTAACTGTGACAAGGCGTGAACGATCAAAGCGACTGCGAAAGGTAACCTTGCCTACTTGTTTCTGGAGGAACTGCTGAAAGAGAAGTGTATTCTTAGAATAGGGGGCTGTGGGGGGGAATCACAAAGAATCGATCCCACTTGGCTGGGCCAAGTACTCAGAAGGTTTGCAGAGGTAGGGGCATTAGAAGGACGAGGGCGAGAGGAAGATGGCGTGGTGTGGAGTGGAGTAGATATTTGCTAGACAATAAGGATGAAGAGTAGTAATAAGGGAAGAGGGGGTTGACATTGAAGAGGACTGTGCAGTAGGAGATGAAGAGGAAAATATTGGGGATAAGGAAGAGGTGCTTTCTAGGGGTTGAGTAATAACCTGGCTGGGTGTTTTGGAATGGTTAGAGTTGTTCGTAAGCGTCATAGAGGGGGTATTAGTATCAGTGATCAGAGCCGTGGTCAGAGGAGGGGCAGGGGTCAGAAAACCATCAAAATCAAATTCACATAGGCTATTTGATGAAGGGGCAAGCCTTAATGCCCTATTAAGGGTAAAGAATCTTCATTACTGGCCATAGTGAGCCTGAATAAACTGGGGAAAAAGAAACAGTCACCCCCTCAGGGTCCCCATAAGGGATAAGGGCTAGGTAATTAACCAGGGGAATATCGTGCCCATGGCTCCCGGAGGCGGTTCATGACTGACACAAAGCCAGCCTTTCATCCTTTCAGCACGGCTCACACACCTTAGTAATTGGAAAGAGGAAGAGAATAAAGAAGATACTGAAAAGGAAAGAAGAGAAGAAAGGACCAAGCAAAATTAGTTGTGACGAGGGCAGAGGCCCAAGGTAGGGGTGATCCCCTACTTTGGGTCTCAGTCCCCGTCTTCTAAGCCCTCCCATGGCGACAATGAGCTAGGTCTTGGGAGGAACTTTACCCTATAGACATCTTTGAAGAATTCTACACTACCATTAGTACAAATGGAAGTTGCTTTTGTGCCTGAATTTATTCTACCTGTTGTGAAGTTTGCATTATTTTTTAGGCATGACCCAACTTATTAGCCACTCTGGGAGACTAATTGATTATTTTAAAACCATTTAAATGTTATCTGGAAATATCAACAAGCTATACTGCAAGTACTGTAGTTTGTAATTTTTTATCTGATTTGGTATTTAACATATTTGAAATCAGATATATGTATTCAGGTATTTTCTCTTTACTCTGATTTTTCTTCGAGTAGGCATAAAATAGTTGAAAATGTAGCGTGTTCCTTGGTGTGGACTTATATATTGCGAAGGCTGTATGTATATTGAATGTTCTTTTTCTTTCCTTCAAAGAGGAATGAATGAATGCCCTAGATCACTAATTCCTTTCTTGTAGGGTTACTTCATTTTCAATAAAGAAATTGTTTAGTTTCTTTTGATTTTCTTCAGTACATTTTTTAACAATGTCATTTGTCTCTGCTATACAGTTTTTGATTCTCTGGTAAGGGGTATCAGAATTTGGTTTTACTTTCATTTTCATATAACATTTACTCTCAATATGATGACAATTTTTCTCAATATTTTCTTTCATTAATTCATTATTCAAGAGGATAACAAACAAGGATGATAATAATAGATTTTAAAAATCCAAATAACTTGTAAATGTTCTGAAACTGAAACAAAAATATAAAGGAAAATACAAAGATATTGTTATATGATTCACCTAAACCTCACCAGCACTGTACTTTGCACTGGAAATACAAATATATACTCAAAAGATTAATATTTACAATAAAAGCAACAAAATATTTTAAGCAAACAGTAGGAATATGATTACATGTTACATAATTACTGCTGAATATTCATACTTTTGTCACCTAAAGACCCATACAAAAATTATCTAACCATTATTATATTGCACATCCTCTCCTCTCTGTTACAGAATGATGCACTGTTATTTTGATATATTGAGCCCCATATTAGAAACTCTTGTATTTGATACAAATCAATACCAGAGAACACTTTACAATGCATTCATTATTTTCTATTAAACATAAACCTTTCAATATCAATACATTTCTAACAGATTACTCACAGATGTCAGCTCATAACCAAAATCATGGGGCATACTTACATTAAGAACATCAAGCTAACTTCATCAAATGCTATTTTCAGAAGTGGATATCACAAAATGAGATTCATCTTGACTTAATTAAAAATAACCTCAAAACTACTTTTGAGTTTTCTTACAAAACAATCCCAACAAAAAACATTTGCTAACATGCATAACTACATTTTCTGTGACCATTTGTTCAATGCTGTTATATAAAAAGGATACAGTTAGCACTCCAACAAAATGCATGACCCAAATCTTTTGAAGTTTTCCTTAACAAAAGTAGAATTTAAAAAATGCATGTCTACAGTTAACATATCCCATACCCGATCCAAGGTGAAAAAATATCTCTACTCTTTATCTTCTATTTCCAATAAGAAAATTAACATTGTCTACTTTTCCTATGGAATGAACGCATCACTATGAAATGTTTAGAAAGACTACTAATATAAAAAATTGCATAACAATACAGCTTTACATATACAGCAATAGAAAATCCTAATAGAAATTTGTTCTTAATATTAGCTATAATAAAAATGACATCCAATACATAGGAAACTGATATATCTGATATGTCTTGTACTTTTGTCACAAGTGATTTCCTATAAAATTTGTCATATATTTTTTGTCGTTCATTTTATCGTTCCACTGGAGTGCCTGAATCAGTTGCACTTTTGTCTGTTCCTTCATAGGCTCGAAGGTGAACCTGGAGGATATAAAAAGCAAAATATTAAATATTACAGAGTAAAGATTTATTGCAGCTTTCTTCTACTGATACTTTTACGCAAAACTTTAATTTTAGCAATAACTAAAATTAATTTATTTTTTAGTTGAAATCTTAACCCACTGGATCTGGATGTTCCCCTGCATTCACATGGCTTAAAATATGGACATTAGGCTTATGAGAGCAGACACTCTGCCTGTTGTGCTGCTTGTAAGCCTGGTGTAAATGAACACTTGTGTGGTGATAAGACTCCCCTTTGCAATGTTATTTACTCTTTTCCTGCTTAAGCATTTTTAGCTTTTATGCCATTTTCCAATGTCTATACTTGTTATCTGATTTACTTTATCCATATGGTGATAGACTGTTTTCCTTCCACAGATTGCATATAGTCTCTCTAGGTAGTCTACAACTCAGTGCAGTAATAATAACAATAATTAACATTTAGTTATTTGTGTAATTTTTTTTCTCCTTATTGTATTTCCTGTAATACAACCTGATAGGCAGGATGAGGATCCTGAGCATGGAAATATGGTCTTCCTTGGAGCCAGTGCTCTTCCAGTCATGGCTCACAGACATTGCATTACACCCTCATTGATTGACAAAAATAATGCAAAAGACCCATAAACACCAAATGAGTCTAATCACCCTCCAAGCGTTTGTACACTCACGGTATTTCTCTTGTCACCCTGGCTTTCAGCTGAAATGCTCATGACTGCAAGTCTGTGTTGCCCCGGCCCACAGCCTAATTTTCCCATGGTGACATGTTGTTCACATCCCCAGTCCTTCAAGCCAAATTTTTTCATATGATGGTCATGTCATCCAGATCGTAGGGGTTAAAAAGTATCAAATGTGCACAGATCGTAGGGGTTAAAAAGTATCAAATGTGCATATTAGAACAAAGCAAATACCATTCTAAAAAAATATGCACATTCTTTAGACCCTCCTTTGCTCTCCAATTAGTTTAAACAGTAAAAATAAAACTCAATTGACCTAAACAGTATATATCATTATTTCAATCCAATATATCAAATAGAACATCTCACCTGAATGTATATATTAACTTCATCTGCCCTGGCTAAGAAAGGAAAGTTTCCGCCAGTCTTCAGGTGTGCTAGACGTGCTGAAGGATAACACTTGTAAACCTCCTCTTTAACAGTTTGTGATAAGGCAGATTCATCAAAGACATCCAGTATCGTTACTTCCACCTGTGCAAGAAGAATGAAATTACTAAATGCAAGTTTCTTTGTTCTGCTTTAATCTTTAGTATCTCCACAGTGCTGTCATTTCCCCAAATACTTGTTGGCTATATGCATGTGTTTGCTCTAATACTGACAAAGGTATCATGCATGACCAGACAGATGTCTGATCAACATAACATTTGTGCTTTGATCCAGAATAATCAAACAGGCTATAGGAAAAGATAAAATGTATACAGATATTGCTAGTCAGTGCCATTTCTAAAAGTAAATAAAAAATAAATAAATAAATAAGAATAAACAATAATGCAAGCCAAAACTTCTAAATGAAGTGAAAACCAAATATTAATGAAAGAAATACCAAAGAAAATTCTTGACTAATTCCTTAAACAATCATTAAAAATTCCTTGCAAAAAAGACACAAATGATCTTACATACCACACAAGTAGATTTCTAATAAGCTGGTGAAGCATGAGAAAGCTGGGTGTTCAAGCTATAGAATCCTTGCAGCTCCAGGAGAAAAGAATGAGCCAAAGCACAAGTTCTCCTTAGCACACAAAGTAAACGTACCTATGGAGAGCCTGACAGACCATCTCACTTCTGAAAAGCAGAAGATAGCAACAACATGACCTAAAGCTGATAGCCAAAGCAACACCACAAGACCTTCTTAACCCATCAGCGAAGGGTAAAAATTTTGTCAAGTTTACGTATGCACCGGCTTGTTGGCGCGCACTGGCAGTTTCCCCTGTTTGCGCCCGGCTCGATCGGTAGTTTGCGAGCAACATATAGCACCTAAAAGCTTTTATTTTTCTAAAATTTATAAAAATATTAAAATTCTGAAGGTTTACCTTCACTTTAGGTGCCATTGCCTAAAATCTTTACCATATAAATGAAGCCGCTACTAGTGGAGAAAAACAATCTCCGTCCGACGAGCCAGTAGCGTGGGAATGGGCATGGCATGATGCCCCTGGCGTTTGATCCACAACAGCCATGGCATGTACGTACGTGACACCCGGCGCCAATGGGTTAATACCATTAGAACCAAACTGCCCAAAGAATAATGATGAACTCTCACTCTCAGCAATAAAGTTCTACTTCTACTTTGACCCACAGCAACCAGATGAACCTAAGAGCCATACAGACGCACCAGGTTTCTTGTATTCTGTTGCTTAAAGCTGCCAACATGAGAAAGAATAGACAATGACAGAAATGTGCAAAAGCTGTCTAAACGTACAACCTGAAAGCTATCAAAAAGTTATTACCAAGCCAGTGAACCAATCAGTTTTCCGTTTTTTTATCAATTTAATGTTTACTTTGCCGCTTTTGAGGCTAATATACCATAATACACATATAAAACAAATTAATAAATGATTGGCATACAGATGTAAGCTACTTAATTGTACCAATAGCATCAGAAACTATTGAATAATATCAACTGCAAATCACAAAACCATTTTCATTTTGCATTAAAAAGAATAAATGAACAAATTATTTCAAAGTAAGCTCAAAATGTAAGCATATGTAATATATACTATATTCCCATTGAGAATGTGATGAATGATGGTTACCATTATTAACAACAACAAAGAATATTTACACAAATATCTTTAATATAGGCTCTTCTATTTATTGAGTACAATGAAAAAGTTACAGACAAAGATCACCATTTCTGCCCAACCCAATATTGTTGCTTTTATCATATAACAATCACGTTACTTTTGGTTAGCTATATACAGTCTAGATATTTGCATTAATAAAAGCCACATTACCTCAGGTACAAGATTTGGGGGAACAGCAAAGCAAGTTATGTATAAAATACATCTACTCCTGTCACCTGATAATGACAGTACATTCAAGTTGACTTAACAAACTAAAATAGCAAGCTACTCAATACTAGCAGAATAAAAAAAAAGCTCATTCTCCTATCCAAACACTGACCTGAACCTTCTGTGGCTGAATATAGGCTGGAGAGCAGTTGAGGGTGAGTCTGGATGCCAACTCACTCTGGTTCAAACTCTCTAACTGGAATAGTTACAAATGTTTATAAATTTGTATAATCAGTAAATTTTATTAAAAAAAAAAAAAAAAAAAAAAAATTACCCAGAATTTAAACAGTCTTACAGGCAGATAATAAGGAAGTGAGACTAATCCAAACTTACTCTCTCTACCATGAAGTCTATAGAATCAGCTATTTGGGAGTCCATCAGTTTCCTTGGGAAACGTCCTATGATCATCTTCTTGAGCAACGTAGCTGGCAGCATCCAGAATCTGTGAAATTAAACACAGTGGAGTTCATGAAAGACTGCTAATAATTAAAAAGATACGACCATTATACAATTCAATTTCATTTACTATCTCAACCCATTTCAGGATTTCCTAAAAGGTTTAGACATAAAAGGTAAATGAAAACTGTTTTATACAATGTTTAACCAAATTCTTGTCTTTAAATTATGTTTTCAATGAGGAAGCCCTTTCTAAGTTAATAATGCAAAATATACAATACCTTCTTATCAGGCAAAGAACATTTAAAATTAATGTGAAAAACATCCAGTAGAGAAGCTCATTATAGTGGTCAGATGAACAAGTGTAAAAAAAGATATAATAGATACCAGCAGTAACTTCTATATCACAAATGCTGTGGTTACTATATTTCCATCTTGTTTACCTATTGTATAAAAAGTGTGTGCTATTATTGTAAAATGTCTAAGAATAAATAAATGAAGGAGTTAAAAATCATATATAATATTGAATATATATATATATATATATATATATATATTATATATATATATATATATATATATATATATATAAATATATACAACTATCTATCTATATATAAATATGTATATCATTCTCTCTTACTTTGCTATATGGCAAAACTTACACAGGGGCTGAATCAGTGTAGTTGAAAATCTTGGTGTCAATGAAGAATTGAAGAAGCAATGAGGGCAGTTTGCCGTATGTTCTGCAAATTTTTGTGCCAGAAACCCCCCTAGGGAAGCCTGTTTATGAAAAAAGGAAAAACAAACCCAAAATGAAAAATATCAAGAACAATTATTACACTAATTTAAGGGAATTATATCCATTTTTGAAATCTCTTAGTTGTTTCAGAAAAAAAAAGTTATGGTAGTTATGGGGGTCAACTTTCCCCTGTAAATTTTCAAGTAGGATTGGTACACTTCTGAAGACTATCGTTGTTCAGATCTGAAAGTCTAGTAATACAAAAACCCACAAATGCACCCCAGCAAATGTGCCACTTTCAAGAAGCAATCTTTCTCCACCATTCATTAACTGTCCAATATATAGGTACTGCAAAAAACTCAAAATATAACAATCTAATTATAATATAAAAAAGAAGAAGAAAGAATAAAATGATGCTTGTCAATTGTCATGTATTACTGTTGCATTCGGAACCTACTGGCTCATTTAATTGCCACGCCTTCGGAACTACTTGTCTGGCTCGTTCAGACCCTACGAGGCCTTTATTGCCCACAATGCAACCAGCTTGAAAGTAAACCTACACTATTTTACATATTGCATAGGTTTTGTAACACCTCTGATACATAGTTAACTTACTTGCAACTGACAAACACAAAAATACCCTTTGGTAACAACAATAAAGGGCTATAAAATTACCTAACAATATCTTATGGTTGCCTGCAACTGTTATTGTTTACATACAAATGCTAATGTGATATCATCTCATCCTCTTCATCCAGTTATGGAGGAGGGTGAGATGGACAAGATGAACAACCTGTCCAGGATGCCAAAGTTGGGGTTCCAAAAAGTCATGAAATCTAATTTGCCCAACTTGTTAGACAAGGAGTTCCAAACACAGCATGTAGTACTAGTAGTAATTCCCAACTCTCAATCAATATATAAATAATTGCACATGTATATACAGATACTTGGCTTACTGAGATGATTCTGTATCCTCTTGCTGTGAGGGGCAGTATCTGCTTGTAGAAGCAGTCTGCTGTTCCACTGACAGGAGGGAGGCATATGAGGGGGCATCGCACCCCTCTAGGTCCTGCATCATATAATTTCCAAACCTGCAATGAATTACAAAAACAATAGCGCTTTTCAAATCATATTGTATAGAGTAACAATCTACCTCATCCCTCTAGGTCCTGCATCATATAATTTCCAAACCTGCAATGAATTACAAAAACAATAGCGCTTTTCAAATCATATTGTATAGAGTAACAATCTATCTCATCCCTCTAGGTTCTGCATCAAATAATTTCCAAACCTGCAATGGTATTACAAAAACAAGAGTAACAATTTATCTCATAGTTTCTCTATATTAAGGATACAATAACAAAACCAATAATATTAGCATCAACAACACCAAACAGCCATTAAAAATATAATGGTGATAATGATAGCAATGGATAAAAATAATAAAACTGAATACAACATTAATAATTTGAACACTAATACTATACTATGGTTCATGATAATAATATTGAAAAAGAATAATATAATGAATAAACTTTAGAACACTCACCTTCAAACCGTCATTATCAACAACAACCTGTTTCAGAGGAACAGTACTGCGGAAACTTTTGTACTCTGTTGATTGCGAAAGGTCACTCTCAAAATCCATTGAGACGGTGTGATAGTCTGAAAATGTTCCATATGATCAACAACAATATTCTATTAACATTCCAACCCTGAGTATATACATTCTGAAAATTTTGATTTTATAAAATGACAAGATTTTTGGTGAATCATGACATCATCAGTGAATTTAAATCTTAAATGGATTTATAACTCTAATATGTAAAAAAATCAAATAATCTCAATAAAGACTAATTATAAACTCATTAGGTTATCCTTATGAAAATATTAGAAATCACAAATCTAAACTGGAATCGGAACCTTGAATATACAGAGAAAACCATTACAGTATTTGGACTGGTATCTCATCGCAAATATTAGAAATCACAAATCTAAACTGGAATCGGAAGCTCTTTTTTGCCAGAACATAAAAGTTCAAGGTTTGTCAGCATTTGTTGCATAAACCTCTGTGGCAAAACCATCACTGGCATCAACAACATTGGTTTGTGGACTTTGATCACACATTACGTCTTTCTCTTTAGACATTATAGCCTTCTCTTTAGATTGTGCAAAACATTTTTCATGTGTCCTTCATAGCCCTTACCTTCATTTTTCTCTATTATTGCAGTGTCCTATTCTTAACTTGTGTCTACCACTGGACTATCTTGAACATTACCTTTCGGCAATATTCTATCCAAACCCAAATGAAACTTTCTCTGATCTGCATTGTAAGACCTACATTCTTAAGTCAGATTCGATAGTGGTGCAGCAGTAGCATCACCCGGCATTATATGATTATACTTTTTCATGTGGAACTTGGTCACAATCTCCTGTTCATGCATTGTACATTATGAATTGCAATATACTCGTCTAAGGAAAAGGGTATCCTAAAACCTAGGTAAAGGGTCTCATTACCCTAATTGGGTACTTAATAACCTTTACGTAAGGTACTTTGTGATTGCTCTATACTTGTGCTCCAGGAACAGAAAGCAAAACTCCATCACATATATTTTATGGCAGGATGATGTTCTAACTGGTTCTTTCTTTGATATTATTGGTAATTCTTTACATACGGATGCACTTACCAAAGACTTAGTCCCCAACTACACATCACAAAATCTATTTAACAATAAGTGGCTGTGACTATGAAGCTGTTGCAGCTTAAACCATTTTCTATCCCACTCTATTTCCTCTGCTATAAAAGATGGTGGTGTCCATTTCCCTCTATCTATGTGCGTTGGTGTCTTTAAATTATACCTTCAATTATTTATGCCTTAACATTCATGTCTGTAAATTACTTTGTAAATACATATTGACCCATACAATAAAGATCAAGCATGCTATATTACTTATGAAGTCTGCAAGTTCGCTCAATCTCATTCTCAATAATAATGCACAGGGCGCTAATGAGCACATAACATGCATAATGGAAACTTAAAAGAATATACTTGGCTGTTTTGTGTTAGTGCCAAAAATACAGAGGTCAGTGGTAGAACTGTGAGTGTAGCGAATAAACCAGTGGCAGGTGTGACGTAGCCTAGTGGCAATGATACGGGTGCTTTACATTTGTCTTTTTATACATTTAAGTGGTTTAAGGATAACCTTATCTGTAGTGACAGTACTATTCTTTATTTTCAACATTAATTTTACTTTGTTTATTCATTCTCTTCTAAACTTTCTTCAACTTATAGAACTCACTTCAAAATATCTTTATGCTCATGTTCACATAACGAAATTATCAAAATTAGAAACAATAATATTATGTTTTCCAAAGATGGTGAAATTTCAAGATAATTACTTCCTAATTTGCTCGACTTTCTCTACATATCTCCTGTAAGTCGTCATTAAAGAAGTAAACGTATAAAACTCAAGTATTTCCTTGGACAGCATGCGTCGCTTTTCATCTTTAATCAAAAGTCAAGAAAAATCAATGCAGAATGAAAAAGGAAAACAAAAAGGATGAGAAAAGGGGCGAAGGAAAATACAACCAAAACAACACCACATAACTCACCAAGAATACCCCGTTGTATTTCCTCATCAAATCTTACCTTGAAAGAACACCTTATCACAGAGGTCAGAGAGGTCATCAAGCAGGCACTTTAGTCACGGAAAAAGGGGTCAATAAAGCCTTATCCTGAAGACCACAGATAAATTTCTTACTTGACAGCCGATCGTCCTGCCTTCTGAAGCCTCGGCCGAAGCCAGGAATGAATCGCATGAGGATTTTTTTTTTTTTTTTTTGACAGATAGATAAGTTGGTTTAACTTTTAACAAAAGAAACGAGAACTAAATTTATGTATTGTATCGTATTGGTTTCATGTAATATGGGTTTTGATATCACATTATTATTTTTTTAATCTGTATATTGGGTATGATGGAGGGATTTATCTCCCTTTACAAATTCTGATTTTATTCCCGCTATCTACAACACTTGGAATAATAATTCTTATCTGTCATCCACAGATATTCTGACCTTCATATGTGATGATAACAAACGCCCGAAACGATATAAAAATTTAATGAATAGTGACCAAATGCATATAACTACTCTAGTACTCTAGTAAAACAATAGGATCATGATTTTTACCATCTCAGTTTGATTGCCTGTTGTTGTCAGTTGTCATCTCGATATTATCTGCAAGAAGAATTAATTATCGTTTAAGAAAATATCAACAGAGTTAGCCATTAAACTTCGCTTTCTGTAAAAGAAATATAACAGAAAATGATATTTTAAGGTAAACTATACTATATCTAATCCAAGAAAAAGAAAATCGTACCTCTCCTCGACTCCTCGAGTACTCCGATTCGGCAAAAGTCAATAATTGTGCTTACGTGTTTGGATTCTTAAAACTTATAGTGTTTATATTTTATTGAAATTTTTTACTTCCATCATTACTTTATTGGACTCACTGTGTGTACGTGTGTGTGGTGTGTGTGTGTGTGTGTGTGTGTGTGTGTGTGTGTGTGTGTGTGTGTGTGTGTGTGTGTGTGTGTGGTGTGTGTGTACATACATATATATATATAT